ACGTTTCATTCTGATCCCCACTTGTGACATTACAGTGCTAATTTTCTGCCAAGCACCTTGCAGGTCTTTAAGTTAACATGTATAATTTAACATGTATAACAAAATAAAATAATGTGCTTTTTTTTAACTGGGGGGGATATGGCAACACAAAAGTTATAAATGTAGCCTTTGTTGTTGTTGTTGTTAGTTGCGAAGTCGTGTCTGACCCATGGCAACCCCATGGACAACGTTCCTCCAGGCCTCCCTGTCCTCTACCATCCTCTGGAGTCCATTTAAGCTCACACCAACTGCTTCAGTGACTCCATCCAGCCACCTCATTGTAGCCTTATAGCTTGCTTAACCAGAGTGATTAAGAGTAGTTAAGTCTGTAATAAGCATTATACAAAATTTCTAAACTTTTCATCCTAAGAAAGGCAATTCCTACTAAATCCAAGCACAGAATTTAGAGATTATGAACTTCAGTTACACTAAAGTTAGTTTAACAGACATACCTCCATCAGATTACTTTGTTTTAAGCTGCCATGAGAGACTGTTGTCCATAGAGACTTTTGGCCCCGATACAACCCACATTGGACATCTTTGGGGAAAGTACTGGTGGCTCAGCAGACTGATAGCATTGTGATTAACACCAGCTGTCTGCAATTACTGTAAGTTTGAATCTCACCAGGCTCAAGGTTGACTCAGCCTTCTATCCTTTCTAAGGTAGGTAAATTGAGGACCCAGTTTGTGGGGGCAATAAGCTGACTTTGTATAAATATACAAAAGTATGAAGGCTATTGCTTAACGCATTGTAAGCCACCCTGAGTCTCCGGAGAAGGGCGGCATATAAATCAAATTTTTAAAAAAAGTACTGAGAGATCATTCGCTAATCTATCAGCCTTCAGAAAGTTAGGATTTTCTCACTCTGAAGTCATTCTGGCTGGGGATTGATTGATTGATTGATTGATTGACTATGTGCCATCAACCCTTAGCAACAACATGGAGAGAACTTCTCCTAGATGATCTGTCCTCAAACCTGGTCCTTCAAGTCTTCCTTTTCTTTGGAAGGAAGCTTGGCCACCTCTAACTTCAGCAATCCTTTTATAAAATAACGAGCATTGGAAAAATTAGGCCTTTGAATTTTGAATAAACTTTGTGGTTATAGAATAAAAGATTAAGTCTTTGTACAAACCAATAACTAACTTGAGCCTACGAACAGACAGTTCTCACAGTGCGGTTTTCATAATCAGCAATGGTACTAATAAAGTTATTTATTGTATAAGACATCTGATGTCTGAAATAACCAGTGGGTGAGCCAAGTCTGGAGATGACTTTAAATTTTTCTGGGTCAAGAAAATCTCCAAGCAAAGATGTGTTGGAATGTAGTTGAGGGAGGGGGGCCTTTTCCAAGAGCAAAGAGGCTGCCCAGCCTGGAATCTTTGGTATGTAGGAAAAGAGCCTCCCTAACCTTTCACAGGGTATATCTAATAGTTATGCAGATTTGTGCTTTAGTCTAGCAAGATTCCTGTCTATAGGCAAGCAATGATAAAGACACCGCTGTAATATAACTCCTGATGCCGTTTTTGACTTTCTTGCACTTGACACGCTGTGAAATGCTTGAAAAAGTTTCTTCTAAAAGGATTAAATGGGAATTTAATGAAGAACATTCATTTTAATAGCTATTAGTCATGATAGCTATATGATATTTTGGATCTGAGTACAGTATACTGTGTTTCCTTCTTGATAGGAAACAAGAGATTATTCCCCACCCCACCCCCCATGAAATGCTGCTGACCAGATAATCTATTAATGGGATTCTTGAAGTCACTAGGACAGGTGACAACTGAGTACTTTGAAAATCTTAGGGCTGTTTTGAACTTTAGGGCATTTTCAGCTGGATAGCTTAGACTTCACACATACACAAACACACACACACACATACACACACACAAAGAATATGGAATCTATGGTTCCAATTTTACACCCAGCCCTTCAAAGCTTACATGAAGAGCGTCTCCAAAAGTTGCCTTTGAACCCTCATGTTTAATGCAGATTATTAAACATAAGTAGTACAGAGGTGTATTCAGCCAGTTCGCTCAAACCGGTAGCAGAAATCATGGGTGGCCCTTCCCACCCGCCCCAGCTCTAAGCCATCCTATTTAGGCACATTTTTGAGGCCGGGTGCATGTGCGGAAGGCGCGTGTGTGAGTAAAGCACATGCATGGAAGGCTGGGCACATGCGCAGAAGGCAGGTGTGCACATGAACCAGGCACACGTATGCACGAAGCAAGTGTGCATGTGTGTGGCAAATTGGTAGTAAAATAATCCAAGTAGTACAGTGTTAGTAACTGTATTTAATGTAAACTGAAATTATATTATAAGTTTATGTTTCATTTTGTCTAAGCTTCATCCACTTTTTGTTGCTGAAGCTGTAGCTTTCCTGAAAGTAATTCTTAGGGCTGAGCATGGCCATTGCAAGGAAGAAACTTCTCGTATCAGATCATAAGAGCCATCTTAGTTGAGTCACAAAGCCCTTATGCATTCTCTGATTCTACCTGCAAGCTACTGAAGTCAACAATCCATCCACAAGCTGGGTAAGCCAGTTCTATGTGGCATCCAAGAAGAAGCTGAACTCATTAAGCAATGGATTGCTGCTGTTGCTGTTGTTGTTGTTGTTGTTTCTTCAGTTGTTTTCAAAAGGACAAAACCAGGATGCATTCTAGTTCAGTAGTTTAACCAGTTCACAGGGAGTCAGTAGGTGTGAGCAAATGACAATTGATGCTAAACCAGTAGGGTGTATGAATATAGTCAGAACTTTAAATGTTTGTGTCGTTTCCCTTGAGAGCTTAATTAGATACTGCCTTCACCAATGCAAGCTAACTTCATTTAAACCAAGACAACTGCATGAAAGTTTGGGTGCATTGCACCTGGAGGGAGGTACCAATTGGAAAAAAAAAGATTTATGTGAAAGATTGGAGGAGAGATCCAGAGAAAAACAGGAAAAAGTAGGAGTAAAATACAAGGAATAGTAGAAGAAAACAAGTGATGATAGCATCAGTCTAGGGGTTGCTTGTTTCTAAGAGTCACTGTGATATAAAGATGAAGATGTTGGCATAGTACTGGAGTGAATTAGGTTTTAGCCTGCCCTCAGGCATAGAAATTCATTTTGGGGTAGCCACATTCCTTCAGGGTTTTTACTATGTGACAAAAAAGATGTGTGTGTGTGTGTGTGTGTGTGTGTGTATGTGTGAATTCGGCAATTGAATAGTGGAATTCCAACTTCAGAGGTTTTTTTACGCAAAGGCAAGAGATGAAACAGACACACTAATAATCCACAAAAGACAATCATGAGAATAAATCAGAATATACCAATTTCTCCAGAATAATTTCAAGAATAGAATTTTGAGTGGGAAGAATCATTCCCACTCAATCTGCCATGTGGCAAATGAAAAATGTCTAAACATCTATAGTGGGAAAGGGAAACCTCCAAAAAGATCTTGAATAATACAAAATAATGCAGCCTTTTTTTAACCTGGAACCCTTCAATTGTATTAGGCCTGCAGCTCCCAGAATTCTTGTCTGTTTTTGGAAGACACCAATTTTGGGAAAGCTGCTGAAATGGAAGAATGAAATGAACTCCAGGAACTGAAAAGGGTTTCCCTTCCGATCATCTTTAGGAAGCAACCAATCCTAATTTTTGTCTCAAAATCTTTTTAGACCATAACTTTAAGTTGGTTGCTATTTCTGGGACAGGTTAGAGTCAAAGTGGAGGTTATAGAAATCTTAGGAACCTTGGAATACAAAATTTCTCCTACTCCACCCTAAACTTGCTTCCAACTTACCATATTGTGGTTTTCCAAAGCCTGTTAGAATCCCATTTGAATTTTTTTCCCTGCTCCTTTCTTAGACTTTCTACGTGCACACAGTTGGGTAGGCTTATCCTGCTCATTCTTCTTTCTATGGCTTATCTTTAAACCATCTTCTGTGTTTCACAGAAAGCAAAAAGTTCCATTTTTGATTCATGGTTTTTGTCTGCAAATCAGAAAAACTACCTAATGGCCGAACCCAAATTTGTAACAATCTTATTGCTGAATTATGAAGGCACTGTTTTACTCCCACTAACTCTGCCGTTACGGAAAACAGATACAATAGAATATAATTTTTTATTGGCTAAGTGAGATTGGACACACTATGCATATGCTCTCAGTGTACATAAAAGAAAAGATATCTTTATCAAGAATCATAAGGTACAACACTTAATGATAACAGAGTTGGAAGGGACTTTGGAGGTCATCTAGTCCAACCCCTGCTCACGCAGGAGACCTGTACTAGGGATTCAAACCACCGAACTGCCGACCTTTCTGATCGACAAGCTCAGTGTCTTAGCCACTGAGCTATGGCAGAAGTTTGCATACACTATGCAAAGACCTATCTCTCTGGAGGGGGCTTTTATGCTGAGAGAGATGGAAAGAAGGAGAATAGAGGAAGACCTTTAAAAAAAAAAGTGGTGGGACTTCATTGCAATGGCGATGAATGAACCATTGGGAAACTTGAAAGAATAGGCGGAGGACAGATTGTCATGGTAAAAAATATATATATGTGTGTTCACTAAGAATCAAAAACTTGATGGCACATAACCAATCAAATTAGCAGGAAAGGGTGAATTCTATTTATTTAGGCCTTTCAACAAGGGGTACACTTATCAGATGCTTTAAGGAGACCCTCATGCCATAACAAAAACATACACAGAGAGAAAGACAAGGGTTTTGTTGCACTTGGCATGAAAACTACTAAGCCTCTTCAGTGTGGGGTTCTGTGTTTTCGTTGCAATTACTTGGCTTTGACATTTCCTGAAACTTGTAAAAATCACAAGATCAGCATGAAAAGCATCATGTGCTGCTCGGCTACTTATTCAAAGAAGTCCATTGAGGTAGAAAAGGATTAGAAGCAGAGAGAAAGAGAAAGGGTTCTGCCAAACCAAATAGTTGGCAAGACCAGGATTAGACAGCAGATTATCCCAAGCAAATTAGCACTGCTTGGTTCAGGAGTAGAGAAACAGGGGGAAAACAGGGGAATGAAAGGAAAATTCTACCGAGAAGGGCTCAAGACGTCTGTAAATAAAAAAGGTAAAAGATCTTAGGAAATATACATTAGAGAAAAATTAGAGTGATAAAGTGCCTAATGTATGTAATTTATACTTGGAGTTGAGGAAATTAAGGTTAATCTAGGGGATATGTTTATCAGAGCAGGAGTGTTAAAACTATTAGGTATTGTAAACTATTATTGTGGTAATTAATACGTGGAAAGGTTTTTTGCTTGATATACTTGGAATTATAATTGGAGGATTGGACACAATGCTATTGTGATCCTTTGTGTTTGTGAAGAGGGAAAAGCAGAAGGTAGGATGACAGAAATATGGGAACTGAAATAGATTGATTATAGGAATATAGGAACGGCTTTGTGGATCTACAGCTTCTGTTTTCTCTGGGAATTATGAAAACAATGTTTAAACTTAAAGGATGTCATGGTTGCTTTAGATTTGCAACAAGTGTGTATGCATCTTTTTCTTCAAACCTCATACTGGGGCTTACAGTGCATTGACGCAAGAATTATTATTATTATTATTTTTGAAATCCTTTTTTAATTTTATAGACAAACAAACATACAATACATAATCAATCATTCAGTGTATCATCTGCGTACATCTTTTTTGTCTTCTTCTTCTTACTCCTCCTAGAGAATTATTTTAAGTAATCTAAAGTAACAACACTTTTACGTACTGTTGTTTTGAATGTTGATATTGATAACCCATGCATTCAACCCTCTAAAAAATGGAAGCGAGGTATTCCTTTTCATTGGTGAAATAGGAGTTTATAGTATTAAGCAGGGGATTTTTACCCCCCTCCCTTTTCCCCTTTTATTTCAGAGCCTGTTTTCCTACAAAGAAATTAAGAGAATTTCCGAAATACTTAGAGACGCAACCTTACCGCTTTGCTTCGGTGGAATCTCAAAGTTATTATGCATCTTGCAATACCGTTACTCCTCCTGTTGGAAGCAATTAATGCTCAGTTTCCAAGACAATGCGCTACAGTGGATGTGCTGATCCAAGGTGAATGTTGCCCGGACCTGTCTCCCGGAGTGATTCCTGGTTCAGATCGCTGTGGCTCATCTTCTGGAAGAGGGCAATGCGTACAAGTGATAGCAGATTCCCGACCCCATGGACCTCAATATATGCACGATGGTCAAGATGACCGAGAGCAGTGGCCTCTTCGTTTCTTCAATCGAACTTGTCGGTGCAACCGTAATTTTTATGGTTACAACTGTGGCTCATGTCAACCTGGCTGGACTGGCCCCACCTGTGACCAGAAGATTACTATAGGTAAGCACAATAGCAAGAAAGAGAATGCAGTCCTCTTTCTGTTCTCCCTTTGGGCTCCCTGGTGCTTCTTTCCTAGCCCTTCCAATAATGATGCTGATGTTTGAAGAATGACTTCACGAGGTGTCTGCCTGATCATCTCAAATGACAACTGTGTTGGCATCTATCCTTACTATCTTTTGCTCACCCAAGCCTAAGTCTCTAAATTGAAAAGAAAAGCAGACTTTTAAAAAAAAAGAAGAAAGAAAGAAAACAAATAAACCATAAGTGATTAATTGAGAAATGTATGCATATTCATGACTGGATTGGCAGTCATGAATCTAGTGCTAATTTATTTCACACTGATGTAGTGGGCCTTCCATTTTCATGCTTCTTCTCCACTAAAAAAAAAAAAATTGCCAAAGAGGATGATGATCAGAACAGCAAGAAGACCTGAGGGAGAAGGAATATAAAAGTCACAAAATATATATTTTGTTTGAAAGCTTCTTGGTAGTAAAGTCAGTAGAAGATATAAACAACAGCCCTTTAGCAATGTCTTTCTGTTCAGGCCATTAAGAATTATTAAGAATTATTCTAAGCGAGGTTTTCTATGTTGTTTGATTCCTAGAAATGACTGTTTGTTTGTCTTTCGAATGTTACATGGAATTTGAATAATTCCCAAGACCAAGCATTCAGCCAGATGAAAGAACAATAACATAACAATAATAGCATAACAATATTTAGTAAAAAGAAGGTACTTAATGCATGAGTCTGAGATGATCTCAAAACACAGCAAAACAATTTGTTTTCAAGAGCATTTTTTGTTGTTCTCATTGAACAATAAAAATGATCCCGCTCAAACCCAGTATATGATTTCATCCAATAAATAAACACTTCACGTTGAATCAAAAAACCAAGGAAGAAGTGAAAATTCAGATTTATTTATTTTTTTTAAACAGTTCTTAGAACCTTCAGAAGTTTCTGTACATTGGGTATGTTGGGAAATGCAGCAGATTATCTGGATTTCTTTTGATCAACATTTAGGCTTGTATATAGGACAGAAGTGGGATGTGGTGGCTCAGTGGCTAAGACGCTGAGCTCGTCGATCGAAAGGTCGGCAGTTTAGCAGTTCGAATCCCTAGCGCCACGTAATGGGGTGAACTCATTACTTGTCCCAGCTTCTGCCAACCTAGCAGTTCGAAAGCACGTAAAAAATGCAAGTAGAAAAACAGGGACCACTTTTGGTGGGAAGGTAACAGCGTTCCGTGTGCCTTTGGCATTTAGTCATGCCAGCCACATGACCATGGAGACATCTTCGGATAATGCTGGCTCTTTGGCTTTGAAACGGAGATGAGCACTGCCCCCTAGAGTCGGGAATGACCAGCACATATGTGCGAGGGGAGCCTTTACCTTTTACCTTAAAGGACAGAATCCACTTTCATTCATCCTGGTGGATGACCTTTATCAAGACCTGATAAAAGAAGTGCATCCCTCCTGTTCCTTTTGGTCCTCTCAACAGCTTTCAAGACTTTGACCATGGTATTTTTCTGAAGCATCTATGAGAGTTCTGGATTACAGGCACTATTTTATTGTGATTCCATTCCTTCCTAAGTGGACAGTACCAGTTGGTTATGGGAAAGAAAAGTCATCCAGACAGTGATGATTTGTTACTCTCTGTGATGGAATGTACGCTTGTGGCAGCATAGCAGAAAGGATTTCACCAGTTCTACAAAAGAAGCTCGGATCAAGAGTCATGAGTTGGATGGGGGAGGAAGGAAGAGGTTCAGGATAACCACACCCTAGAATCTCTCAGGATATATAGGTAGTCCTCAAATTAGGAGCCCAATCGAGTCCAAAATTTATGCTGCTCAGTGAAAGATTTGTTAAATGAGTTTTGCCCAATTTTATGACTTTTCTTTTCTCTTTTCTTTTCTTTTCTTTTCTTTTCTTTTCTTTTCTTTTTTTTTTTTGCTTTAATTTATATGCTTCCCTTCTCCGGAGACTCAGGGTGGCTTACAATGCGTTAAGCAAGTTGTTAAGTGAATCATCACACATGTTAAGTTAGTAGCAAGGTTGTTAAGTGAATCTAGATTCCCCATTGACTTTGCTTGTCAGAAGGTCACAAAAGCTGGTCACAGGACCGCAGGACACTGTAACCATCAAAAAAATAGGAGCCGGTTGCCAAGCATCTGAATTTGGATCATGTGACCATGGGGATGCTGCAACAATCATAAGTGTGAAAAATGGTCATAAGTCACTTTTTCAGGGCTGTTATAACTTTGAACAGTAACTAAATGAATTGTTGTAAATAGAGGACTACTTGTATTTAGGCTCAAGCTAATAAGGGGTTGGACTCAGTTGGATCTCAGTGTCTCATCACTTGGCTTGGATCTAATGTCAATGTGTTAGATACCCAATAGACAGAATCTTGCCAAACTAAAGCTATAAATTTCTAAGCTATTTAACTTATCTTGAGAGATTCTAGGGTGTGGTTGCCCCGAGCAGCTTTCCTCCTCCCCTATCCAGCTTGGGACTGTGTAGTCTCTTGAGCTGGGTTTCTTTCTAGGAAAGCTCTGAACTGCCAAAATCTTCCCCCTCTGCTGCTGCAGTACAGATTCCATCACACTCTTATAATTGTTCTTTAATATATATATGAAGATGTTTGGAGAAGTCATTCACCAGTTTGGGTTGAAGAACCATCAGTAGGCCAGCTATATATTCCTGCTCCCAACCAATCCAGGAATGCGAAGGAATCGGCTGCAGGCCAATAGAAATTGGATGGGTAGAAACTGAGTTTGAATCTCTGCAAAACAGGGTTATTGTTTGTCCAAATGACATTTGACCTTTTTCCTGCCCCAGTAACAATAAAATGAGGAGATATTCTCGCTAAAATAAAAAATCCACAACTGGGGATCCTCCTAGACTCACAGCTAATGCTAGACAGCAGTCAAGGTTATAGCTAGAGAAGGTTTTATCAAGCTTCAGTCCTTTCAGAATGAGGTCCTGACAACAAATACTAATATCTTTATCATATTTAAAATTGTTGACTGAAATGTATCTTCCATGAGATAGGGAAGTTGCAGCTGGTGCAGAGTTTGGGAATCTCTTGCGGGCAAGAGACAGCTATCCATGTCATAAAACAGTGTTTTTTGGGGGTGCCACAGTAGTTTCCAATAAGCTTCTGAGTACAATTTGAGTTGATTTTGTTTATTGCATGGCATCTGGGAAAGCTATTGCCTCCTGCTATATGCATTTGTTGTTCCAAAATGCTGTGTTTAGAGATCTTTTCCATGTGAGATCAAGGGAGGGAAATAAGGGCATGATATTTTTTTGCTTTATAAGTTATCCCTGTGGAATAGTTTCCTATCGGAATTTCACATGAAGTCTTTCCATAGTGAAATTCAGAAGTGCAGACACAACTGATCTCTTTAGCAGAAATTGTAATGAAATTACCCAGATGTTATTAAGTAAGATTTTAATACATTTAAATGTGGCCATTGGACATGGATATCAACGTCAGGTTGGGATTTTATAGAAACAGCGACTGTGATGGAAATATATTGTTTTAACTGTTTTTATTAACTTCATGAAAGATCCTTGTGGAACTAGTGATATGTAAATACTCCAAAGAAATACATAAAGCAGCTACATCTTACCAATTCAGAACAAAAAATGTTTCCAAATTGTAATGTGCATGTAAGATTTGCAGTGGCGAAAGTATATTGTTGGGTTTTTTTTTTAATAGCCTAGGTACCAGCCTCTTTGTTTGCTTAAATGAAACTAAATGACAATTTAGGGATGCGGTGGCTCAGTGGCTAGGGCGCTGAGCTTGTCGATCAAAAGGTCGGGTTTGAATTTCTAGTGCTGCGTAACAGGGTGAGCTCCTGTTACTTGTCCCAGCTTCTGCCAACCTAGCAGTTCGAAAGCACGTAAAAATGCGAGTAGAAAAACAGGGATCACTTTTGGTGGGAAGGTAATAGCGTTCCGTGTGCCTTTGGCGTTTAGTTATGCCGGCCACATGACCACAGAGATGTCTTCGGACAGCGCTGGCTCTTCGGCTTTGAAATGGAGATGAACACCGCCACCTAGAGTTGGGAACAACTAGCACATATGTACGAGGGGAACCTTTACCTTTACCTTTAAATGACAACTACTATAACCTTCCCTTACTAAAAACTTCATTCCAAATATGCAGTGTGGGAGAGTTTCTAAAAATTGTAACTTCAAAATCTTCCTTATGAAGATAATGAAGATGTGTTCTTCATCATGTATTCTTTGCAATGCAGCCCTAAATCTTTCGCGCATCCTCTACTTCCTGAAAAAGTCTGAATTTATCATGCATTCATTCCATCCAGAGTTACCCTTTGGTAAGATGGGTGGCCAATAAATCTGATAAATAAATTCATCAAGAGGCATTTTACCTACGTCCACATTTATTCACATTCAAGGGACATATTACTGTAACTGATAAGCCAATTCATGGTATGAAGTGAAATGTGGAATTTAGAACCTTCATGTAGTTGATGAGCTTCATGAGATGATATATTAATCTATGTATCTGCAGAATAGCTCATATATCTCTTATATCTCTTATACCTTTTCATAAAAGGTATAGCAAATCAAAAGCAACTGCATTACATAAAATGACCTATATGCATAAGGTATTTACTCTCCCTGCAATGGGGGGTGAGGTGGTGATATATTAATTTAAAACTCTTTATTATACCATGGAAAGTCCAAAAGGTTTCATCAAAAGCCTAATCCAATTCCCAGCTCCCAAAATAGTCACATTATTTATAGAGGTAAAAAGGTAAATGAGTCTCTGCAGGTTTTACTCTGCTAGTTGTTGTCAACTATGGGGAGGGGAGGTGTTCATCTCCCTTTCAAATCCATTGAGCCAACACTTTCAAAGACATTTCTGTGGTCATGTGGCCAGCATGACATCACAAAGCACCATTACCTTCCCACCGAAGTGGTACTTATTTATCTACTTGCATTTGCATGCTTTCGAACTATAGAAGTTATAAAAGCCTTCCTTAAAATCTCTGGCTTAATTTATAAACTAAATTGAATTAAATTATATGATATAATAGCCTATACTTCTGTGCAGCCCGCATTCTGGTTTTATATTTCATTTCAAAATATTAAAGTATTTTTATCCATCTTCACTAGGTCCAACATCTTGTTGAAATGTGATTTGATTTGAGAATTTTTTAATCAGGATATTGATGTATTTTCAGTCTTCTGCTGATATTTCCACTTTTCCTTTAATATGGCTTTAATTCTATTTCCTTGCTCTCCAGTTAGACGAAATCTTCTGGATTTTAGTAGTGAAGAAAAGACAGAGTTTCTAAGAGTCTTACAGCAAGCCAAAACTACAATACACCCTGACTTTATGATTGCAACCAGGAGACGTGAGGAGATCTTGGGTCCTGATGGCAACACTCCACAATTTGAAAATGTGTCCATTTATAACTATTTTGTGTGGTCTCATTATTACTCTGTCAGAAAAACTTATCTTGGGCCTGGACAGAGAAGTTTTGCTGGAGTAGATTTCTCCCATGAAGGACCAGCATTTCTCACCTGGCACAGGTATCACCTACTACAACTGGAGAGAGATATTCAGGTAAAGTATTTTTATTTATATTGCCTAGTATCAGATCAAAGAAGAGGCAAGCCCTGCCTCATTTTCAATTTGGAGTAATGATGTTCCTTGCCTAAAAGAAGCTACTGGGAAAGCTGTAGATCAGGGATGTCCAATCTTGGCAACTTTAAGACTTATGGACTTCAACTCCCAGAATTCTTGCCTGGCTAGGGAATTCTGGGAGTTGAAATCCATAAGTCTTAAAGTTGCCAAGATGAACATCCTTCCTGTAGATAATTAATGTTGGATGGCCTAGACAACCTGCTGTTTGACAACTATTTAAATATAAAATCATTCAAAACTCCCATAACCACACACACATATCAGATTAGTTGGCTTTCAAAACATCTGAATAGCACCAGGGACTTATGCAGGCTGCAGATTCCCTGAGTATACAAGGCCACTCCAGGGGTGAAATGCTCCCAGTTCGATCCGGTTCAGCCAAGCCGGTAGCAATGACAGCCAGTGGTTCAGAGAACTGGTAGCAATGACAGCCGTTAGTTCGGAGAACCAGTAGCGATGGCAGCTCGAGGCTCCACCCACCTGCCTGGTCATCATTACTTCCTGGTTTTAATGCAGGAAGGGTTTGCGCATGCACAGAGGGTCGGCATCCGCATGCAGCGCGTGCACTTCCGAACAGGTAGGGACTCCGGGCCACTCCCTACGTATGGAAATAGGAACTTGCTTTTTTTTTTCATACAAATGCCCCTTATTAGAATGACAAGTATCATATTCAAATCCATATATTTGAAGTTCCAACTTCATTATAGTGGCCTGCTAGGGAAGGAACTGCCAAGAATGACTTGCATGTCCTTGTGAATTGTGTGTGTGTTTCTGCAACACAGCATGGCTCATTATGAATCCTATATTCTATCCACCAGGATATGCTACAGGATCCTTTTTTTGCCCTCCCTTATTGGAACTTTGCCACAGGTAGAAACAGCTGTGACATCTGTACAGATGATCTCATGGGATCCAGAAGCAGCTTTGATGACTCTCTCCTCAGCCCCAACTCAATCTTCTCACAGTGGCGCATCTTGTGTGAGGCTATTGAAGACTACGACACACTGGGAACCATTTGCAACAGTAAGCCTAGATTTGTAGTGCTATTTAGCTGTTATCACAGTTTCCTTAAGAGTAATAAATATATTTAAGAATTCTTTTTGGTTCAGATATGGAACTTAGCAGGCTTAATTTTGTCTTTACTAAAATTGTGCACATACACACAAAACGTTACATGTTTCATTCAGAGGACATGAACACTTGTTATCATTAATCAAGTTCACTGTCATGTGAAACACTTCCAATTTTGGATATTGAGGAAAATTCTGCTTTCTTTCAAATTTATATCTAGTCTAATGAAGGGAAGAACTAGGAGTGACATGATAGTAGTGTTCCAATATTGGAGGGGCTGTCACAGAGAAGAGGGGCTCAACCTATTCGCCAAAGCACCTGAGGCCAGGACAAGAAGTAACAGGTGGAAACATATCTGTCATGGTTCCAAGTAATACATCCATAGCAGGCGAGACTCTGAGGCATGAAGATTCCTCAAAGAATACTTTCATTTGGAATTATCATATTGGCACATATCTGGTGAAAACCAACTCTAAGGTTCCCATGGTTTTCACCTAGTTAAAAGAGAAAGTTTTTCCTCAAACCCCAAACAATCAGTCCAATCAAGATGCTGTCTAGTTGGCTGGAGACCTCCCTCCTTCTTCCACGGTCCAGGTGTGAGAATGTCCTTGGTTCCCAAGAGAAAGTATTTTATTTTGGCTACACAAAACCTTCTATCTCTAATCCCCCTTCCCTACCCCTCAGCTCCAATGTGGCAACACTGAAGTTCCAATATGGGTCTGGTCACATCAGCTTCAGGGTTGACAATATCAAGGAGAGGTCCAATCTAGAACTAAGGAGGAAGATTTATTCCAAAATGGCTAGCTTTTTTCTGGGACACACTGGTTTGAGATTCACACATTGAGGTCCCAATTGAAAAACATGGACAGAGCTCAAAAGAAAAAAACTGGGTAAGTCCAGAGAAAAAACCATAGGTTGTATTAACTTTAAAAATATCTTTGTTATGGTTCTTCCCTATGTTATTTTTACTTTTCTATTTCATTAACAGTTACAATTTTGCAACAGAAGCTGTATGGGTTACGTCCAAGAGGATGAGGGAGATAAATGTGACTCTAGCACAATGATTCTCAACCTTGGCAACTTTAAGATGGGTGGATTTTAATTTCCAGAATTCAATTGAAGTCCATCCTTCTTAAAATTGCCAAGGCTGAGAAACTCTGCCCTACTGTCTCAGCATTGCATCTGTAATCTAAGGCTATTGATTGAATTAATGGCAGAGGCAAAATTTAAATAAGAATCTTTCTGACTCAATGTCTTAAAAGTAGTTCTTACTGTACTTTTATATATCATAATGGTTTCTATTACTCTTTATATAAGTCTAAATACTTGGTATGTAGGCTTATATACTTATTTGGTAGTACAGTGGTCTAAGGCACCCTGTTATTAAGCTGGTTATTAAGACCAGCTGCCTGCAATTACTGCAGGTTCGAATCTCGCCAAGGCTCAAGGTTGACTCAGCCTTCCATCCTTTCTAAGGTAGGTAAATTGAGTACCCAGTTGTGGGGGCAATAAGCTGACTTTGTATAAATATACAAAAGAATGAAGGCTATTGCTTAGCGCATTGTAAGCCGCCCTGAGTCTCCGGAGAAGGGCGGCATATACATCAAATTTTAAAAAAAAATGATATTGCTACCACTCTCCTTCTACTATAAAAGCCTCAAAGTAGCAGAGAAAGAGAAGAAATCTATTCAGACTAATGTTTTATGTTTTAGTAATCCCACGTTACCCTCTTCAAACTTACATAAAAACCAATATACCTTTTATATATCAACAGCTGCACATTTGTTTAATTCACAGCTCAAAATATCTACACCAAAAATGTACCTACAGGGAAATAATGTATATGCAAATTAATACCATATTTTTATCCAGCCTGCTTTGGGGAAAACCAATGCATAAATAGAGTGAAATAAAGTTACAGTTAGGGGGGAAAAAATAACAATTGAGCACAACCAAGTGGACAGATCATGCATAAATCTATATATTTTCTGTATTGCATGATAAGTTGCCTTTGGAAAAATAAAAGGAATTCAGCAGGTTAAGTAGTGATACGCAACATTTACTGCGATTGGTTCTTAGCTAAAAACAAGGAACGTGGGATTTTTTCCCTCTAAAATGCCTTCACTGCATTATTTCTTAGATTATGTGATTAACCTGATAATCCATTAAATCTTATTCCCCCTCCCTCATGCCCCTGTTTTTGTTTTGTTTTCCAAATGTCAGGCACAGAAGGTGGTCCAATTAGACGCAATCCAGCCGGAAACGTCGCCCGTCCCATGGTGCAGCGCCTTCCAGAGCCTGAGGATGTTGCTCTTTGCTTAGAAGTCGGATTATTTGACACGCCTCCATTCTACTCCAATTCAGCAGACAGTTTCCGTAACACAGTAGAAGGCAAGTCACTCCAAAGCAAACAAACAAACTCTTGAAGCCAAAGGTGAAATCCACCACATTCCTAACATTGAAGTGGGTTAAAAAAAAAAAAAAACTGTTCAAATCCTTTTGTGGGAAAATAAATTGTTTAGGAAATCACCCCCAAGTTTCATTGTCTGGGTTTCCAAATCTGGAAACAAATAAGATGAGAGGGAACCCCTTTATTGAATTCAGCAGTTTTCCTCAAAATCAGTGGCCCTGCCAGTGAGGGGTGAAATGAAAGCAAATGTTGGCTTTATCAACATCAGCAAGTAATACTATTTGAGGCTAAGGCTTACAGTACTTTGCCTCAGGAAATGTTTTTTTTAAAAAAAAAATAAGAAGCCCTTCAAAACGTAGCATATCCTTGACTTTGTTAAAAGCAGTGACATACTAAAATGTCCACCTCTTGCTATATTATTATACTATACTATACTTATTATACTATACTATACTATACTATACTATACTATACTATACTATACTATACTATACTATACTATACTATACTATACTATACTATACTATACTATACTACCTGGAGGCCCCTATACCAGAGGTGGGTTTCAGCAGGTTCTGACCAGTTCTGGAGAACCGATAGCAGAAATTTTGAGTTGTTCAGACAACTGGTAGTAAAAATTCTGACTGGCCCCGCATCTATTCTCTGCCTCCCAAGTACCAGCTGATTGGGAGGAAATGGGGATTTTGCAGTAACCTTCCCCTGGAGTGGGAACCAAACCATGCCCACCAAGCCACACCCACAGAGCCGGTAGTAAAAATTTTTGAAACCCACCACTGCCGTACATATTAGGCAATACATAGGCGAAGGAATATAGGCCATAGCAAATGTCTTACCCATCATGATTTACCAAACCCCAGGATAGCCCAATCCTGAGAAGTCCGGGGCCAAATGGAAACCCTCAGCTTTCTGGTGGGCCCAGAAGACCATTTGGAGATGTCTCTAGATAATGAAAGGCTAAAATTGGGGGGGGGGGGGGGGGAGTGTCTCTTGGACTTTAAAGGTGGGAATGGGATTGGATATGGAGACCTTTGAGATGCAAACTGCTAGAATTCCAATGCTTTAAGTTACACGCACACCATTTCAGGAAATAGACCCACAATAGTCCTTGGGGTTACTTTGAAGTGAGAATAGGTACATGAAGCTTCAGGGAGATAAGCTACTACTGTTGCCATCCTTCAAACCCTATTAAGACTTGAAAACTCCTTTGAAATGCTGCTGATGAAGTTCTGCTATTTTGCCACCAGGTTTTGGTAATATAATCTTAGTTTTATAGCAGACATCATTTTTATTGTGCAAAGTGGACTTTATTATTTGTTTAGAAAGCATTCTAAATAAAATTAACATGATCTTTTCCAATTCATTAAATTAAGCAGTTCTACCAATCAGTTTTGATTTAGTTAAATATGTGGACTGTATACAGTTCAGTGGTGGGTTGCCCCCGGTTCACACCGGTTCTATAGAACTGGTAGTAAAACCAGCAGGAGGCTCCGCCTACCGACCCCAACATCATCAAAATGCTTCTGTGCATGGTTAGTCCAGGCCATCATAACAGGTATGTCCCACAAGTATTTTTACCTGTATCACATTTGGAGAAGTCCCATTGAATACAATATTACAGTTCAGTACTTGACATGTTCAAATGGCTTAATACATTTCACCTACACTTCATCTACAAGACTAAACAGTGAAAATATAGAATCCTGTATCCTATTTCAGTTGATGAGAATGTCTTCTCATCCTCAACCCTAAAAAAAGAATAAATGTATCTGGGAAATAGTTAGTTATATCACCATTCCTTATGTTATTGCATATTTAGAACAATATATTTTGGTACATCCAAGTTGGCTTCTGCAGTTGAGGTCTATCAACACTTGATAGGAAAGTATGAGCTCCCAATTATTAGTTAAGTATACAGGTTCTGGCATTTTTCTTAATTGCTTTGCATTTAGTAGCATTGAACAACATGGATATTTTATGCAAACAAAATTAAAAGGGTGTGGGGTTTTTTTTTGGCCAAGACATACATACATACATACATACATACATACATACATACATACATACATATGACTATTTGTAACTCAGGGTTGAAATGAGGGGTTTCTTGAGTAGGATACAGTGGTGGGTTGCTGGTTCTATAGAACCGGTAGTAAAACCGGTGGGAGGCTCCACCCACTGACCCCGACATCATCAAAATGCTTCTGTGCATGTGCAGAAGCTTCTGCGTTTGCGCAGAAGAGCGCGTGCACGCACAAGCAAAGTGAGCATGCGTGCGTGTTCGGCCCCGTTGTGAACCGGTAGTAAAGGTAAGTAGAACCCACCCCTGGTAGGGTATTGTTTACTTGATTGTTGGTCTGAAACTTCAGACCAACAATCAAGTAAGCAATACCCCAATCAAGAAACTGCCAAAGTGCCATCAGTAAACAGCCCATCCAAATCCCTAAAATCATTCCCACCCACACAGTCAGGCAAGACACCAGATGTTACCTAATTAAGGTAATTAAATGTCTGCAAGAAAACAAGCAAACTCAGAGAGCACCAAGGACTCCTCAGATATATATGTTATGTATATGTATATGTATATGTATATGTATATGTATATGTATATGTATATGTATATGTATATGTATATGTACATGTATATGTATGTCATATGTATGTATGTATCTGGTCTCTCTCTCTCTCTCTCTCTCTCTCTCTCTCTCTCTCTCTTTCTCCCTCCCTCCCTCCCTCTCTCTCATTTTGATAGAAGGCTAAAAAAAACAACAACCCAGCATCAAATACATATTTAAAGACAGAGTTCCAAGAATGAAAAGTATCACAGAACCTGGACACAGAGTTGTTCCACAAGTGTGTTAAAAAAAAAGCACAGTCATATTGCAAGAATGAATTTGCAAGGAATTAATATACAGGATGCTAAATACATTATACTAAGTACTTAATTTTATTCACTCCAATTATAGCCACCTAACTTCATAACATTGGGCTAAATAACAATCAAGATTCATACCTGCCAAGAATCTAGCATGCTAGTTGGGTTTTTCAGAAGCCCAAAGTCACTTCTAAAAGAGACATAGAGAACTGAAATAATATCTTGTCGCCTGGAGTGCAGAGGAGCACCCACATTTATCAAATGCATAGAGATTTCAGCTATATTATTGCCAGGTTGATGCAAAGTAATTGTTTTATTCAAAGCTGGAAAACACAGTCTCCCTCCCTCCCTCCCTCCTTTGTCTTCACTCTCCATGTGCTCTACCTTATTTTGTGCAACAAACTATGTCTGAGCCAGGCATATTGCTAAGTCATTGATTTCAGACTTATCCATTCTTGGGAAACAGGAAGTTATATCTGGGCTATAGGATGATCTGTTTTTTCATATAATAGGCCTAGCCTTTTAGCAATGTAATTTCTGTGGAGAAGATGAAGATGGTTTTCTGATGTTATGCTAGGCAGGATTGTGCTTTGCTAGGACAGGCAAAGATTCCAGAATTGCTTTTCAATTGTTCCCAGGGTTGGGCTGCTGGGGGTTCATAGGGGTTCAGGAGAACCTCTAGCTAAGATTCTGAGCAGTTCGGAGAACGCCCAAATCCCATTCTTGGCTGGCCCGCCCTGCTCCACCACTCCCAGGAGTCTCAACATGGCCCATTTTGGATGCAGGTTAGTGCAGGGCACAGACAGAGGCTCAGGGAGGGCGAAAAACAGGCCTAACAGAAGTTCGGGAAGGCCAGAAACAAGCTCCAGAGGGCCTCTGGGGCCTGGGGAGGCCGTTTTTGCCCTCCTGAAGGCTCAAGAAAAGCTCTGGAGCCTGGGGAGGGCAAAAATGCCTCCCCCACCGTGGTGCAGGAGGCTGATTAGGCCATGCCCACCATGGACATGCCTACCCAGCAACCGGGCAGAGAACCCCTTGCTAACATTTTTGAAGCCCACCCCTGATTGTTCCCCTCTTCTTTATTCTTATGTCCAGGCTACAGCAATCCTTCAGGAAAGTATGATCCGGCAGTGCGAAGCCTTCACAATCTGGCTCATCTGTTTTTGAATGGAACTGGAGGGCAAACTCATTTATCCCCCAATGATCCCATTTTCGTCCTCCTCCACACGTTTACAGATGCTGTTTTTGATGAATGGCTGAGAAGGCATAACCCTGGTGAGATATTTGGATTTATCTTATTCCTCTGTATAGAATCCCAGTTACAATCCATACCCAACACAGTGCTTGAGATAAATTATCCAGGCAACAATCTCTGCCTCTGTAAAGAAGATGCTAAGATCCCACAGCAGCAGTGCAACCAACCGCAACTGCATCCTTTATCTCTTCTTACCAGAAGCAGAATAAAATCTAGCCCCCAAAAGGAATTACTGTATATACTGCTGATAAAGGATAAATCTCACCAGAAGATCATAAGCTCTTCTGGTATTTCCTTGCATCAGCAGATCCAAGAAAGAGAAATGCTAACATTTATTTATTTTTTTTACATCTCCTAACTTCCCGAATGTGTAGCTCTCTGTATTTCCATCTCCCAAAAGAAAAGCAAAACAATACACACTCTGTTGTGGGGTATATATTTGAAGGTAATCTTTAAAAATCTTACAGCAACGCTCTCTGTGTGTTTTTAATAGCAAGTCAAGTGGCATTTCTTAAGATTCATATGGCTGTTCGTTGCTGCAGGAGAATTCCTTAAGTTCATGCCATGCTTTGCTGAGCAATAACAGCCGAAAGGAACTGGAACGGTAGAAGTTAGATGGTTTTTTTTGTAAGTCTTGTAGAATTAAAAAAAAAAAAGATGATAAAAAGAAACTTTTAGGGACTGTACCATGAGAGCAACAGCTTTCAACTGCACTGAAAGATGGGAAGGCATGCTGAGTTTCACAAGATTATGTCAGGAGAGAATTAATAGTGGATAAAGTAGTGGGCGAAGTACTGGTCGAGTTTAATTCATTGTACCCATGATCAATGTCCAAGCATGAATGTCCAGCATGAATAAATTTTCAGCTTCCATGAGGCAAAAGTGACACTTTGTGAATGTCACAAATATTCATGCGTGGGGGAAATTCCTTATAACAAGGATAATAACCTAGATTTCAACTCCCATCAGTCTCAGTCTGCATGATCATTGTCAAAGGTTGTGGGATTGTTAATTCTAAGCATCTGGAGTGCATCCGACTGACAATCCTTATTTTAGAATGTGTTCCAGAATACTTTTCAATACAAAGTTCTATGAAAGAGTCACAGCGAGACTCCAAGGTATAAATTCAGATTTTCAGATGCTTTACAACACCTGAATGGTTCTGAAACACACACACACACACACACACACACACACACACACACACACACTTGTAAATCATTGATTCACTCAACCTACATTATTATATAATATTAATTGGTTCTGTCCGTGAATCTGTTCTAAGCTTTGTAATGATTGGCATCCTTAGAAGGATGGTTTTTCTATAAGGTGGCATTAAACATTGATTCAAGACTAAAAACTTCACTTTATTTGCATGTCAGTCATGCCTCTATTATTAAAATAATCCATAGATTGTCAGTCCATTAACTAACCAAATAATACTGGAAGCCGGGCAGTATTAGGTGAACATTACATTTGGCCAGTCAGCCTGCTGTTTATACTGGATTTGGCATTGTTGTCCACCTATCAAGTCTTTCCCAAGGATACAGATAGGCAGATGATGCTGTTGTTTAATCTATCATTTTTTTTTATTTATTTTATTTGTTTGTCATTTAGTATTAAATCATTTAGAATTAATCATTTAGTATTAAGAATTATTTAGTATTGTTTTATCAGCCACGAATAATGTCCAACCAGCTTTTCTGAAAAGCCATTTAAGTATTTAATTCCAAGTTTTCAAACTTTAATAGTTACTTCCTTTTCTTTAGATAACTCAACATACCCATTAGAAAATGCTCCCATTGGACACAACAGACAGTACAATATGGTACCATTTTGGCCTCCTGTAACCAATGATGAGATGTTTGTTACAGCACCAGAAAACCTGGGCTACAGTTATGAAGTTCAGTGGCCATGTAAGTTATGTAATTTTTTCTTTTCATCAGGTAGCAGATCTAACATTTTTTCTGTTAGATCAAAAGAAACATTACTATTTGTGTATATATCATGTGCAAAATAACTGTCATGGGCTGTACTGATTTTTGCAGCTTCTTTGACTGGTTCGGACCCTTAAATACTAATCAGGCTAAGTATCATATATGTGGTTTTTAAAATCTAAATATCTTGATTGATCTGTTTAAGAAAAAGGTATTTGATAAATGGTGAATGCTCCTTTTTAGCATCAGAATCAGCTGATCAAAAATATAGCAAACAAGTCTATAAGCCAAATAAATTAAATATTGCAATGTCTTGATTTAATGAACAGCTTGGTTTATAGTAAGGAAGAACAAATTTTCTGTGTTGACTACATGGTATTTTCTAGTAATGTTACCAAAAGCTTTCATTTCATTTCATGAGTTTATATTACAGAGTAAATAGCTCAGGTTTTGAACTGAATTCAGACTCCTAAAAGATGCATTCCATCAATTCAGTATTTCAATTGGTTAAAAAAAAAAAAAGAATGATTTTGGGAAATGGGCAGCATAGAAAAGCTTATAAACAAACAATCCATATAGCCTATGATTTTAGATCTATGGCAATTTAAGAGGGCATTTTTTAAAAATAGCTATTTCTAGAGGGATATGGCCGCAATCAATAAGATCCTGAAATTATTGGAATTCGGTTAACTTCTACATTGTCTAAAAATAAATTCCCAAGTGGGTTAACAGCTCACAAAACTGACACTCTTTTGTGTTTTCCCCATTTTCTTTCAGCTCCAGCTCTCCATGTGACTGAAATCATAACAATTGCAATAGTTGCTGCTTTGATCCTGGTTGCAATTATATTCGCTGCAGCCTCTTGTATTGTGTATTCCAAGAGACAGGAGGAACACCAGCCACTTCTCACCGATCACCATCTGACCTATTCAGATGATTATGACAGCATTCCAACCCCAAGGCAGTCAAATGTGTGAAGATAAGGGACTTATCTGCATTTGGTGGCATCTATTGTGTCTGATTCATGCTTGCAGGAAAGCCCATTTCAGAGTGAGAAAAAAAATCTTCCTTTATCTAATATTTATCTCCAATCCATATTCTTTCTTAGACTGGTTCAACATTTCTGCTGATTTCACCCACTTCGCTCCTGTTCTATCTACAGTATGTTCACAATATAAAAGACTAACAATGAATATTTTACAGAAGTTAAAGTAATTACTAAGTATGTATTAACTGCTTTTATATGGAAGATGGTACAAAAATTAACTTTATGCTAATCTTGTTCTGAGAGCCAGTTTGATGTAGTGGTGAAAGCATCTGGCTAGAAACCAGGAGATTATCAGTTCTAATCCCAAATTAGGCATTAAGTTAGCTGGGTGACCTTGGGCCAGTCACTCTCTCTTAGCCCTAGAAAAAAGGCAATGGCAAACCACTTCCCAAAACCTTGCCAAGAAAACTTCAGAGACTTGTCCAGGCAGTCTCTGAATTGGACACAATTGAACAGAAGGAAAAAAAATCTTGTAGTAAGATGTCACAAAACACTACTAGCACCAAGGAAAAAGTTATCCTGTTTTTTAGGAATCAGTCACCAGCTAGATTGTCTCTGTACACCTCAGTAGCAAGCTAATTCTAGTATCTCAGCAGCCTATAGCAATGTGTTTTTCTGTAACTAAGTTTATATTGAGGCATGCCCAAATAAGACTCTGGACATTGTCTGGAAAATTCCCTCAAACAGATATTAATAACTCCTGAATCCCAAAGGTCCATCCATATCAATCCATCCATCCAGGTTGGACATTTGTCCAATCCACTGATTATATCAGAGAAGATCTTCTCAACCTCCTCAGGCTGAACAAGATCCCTTTGCAAGAAGTTACCTCACTAATCATGCTAGATCACATCCAACTGGCATTCAATCCAACCAAACACAGATGACTAAATCTGAAAAGGAACTTGCAGACATTATTTTAGCAGTCTGCTAGAACAGGGGTCCCCAACCTGTTCTAAATTGGGCCATGCGACAATGGGTAAGGATGCACGCATGAAGCTCCACTCATGTGAGCAGCAGGCCCTTGCGCTCGCATGCAAAGTTCCACTTTTATGAATGGAGCTTCTCGCACAAGCACTCTACACTCGTGCGAGTGGAACTTCGCGCATGAACACAAGTGCCCTCTGCTCAAGCACCTTTGACTCACACACAAAGCTCCATTAACAGCTGTCACTTACACACACAAACCACTCTGGGCTGGGCCACCAAGCTGGAAAGATTGGTGATCACTGTGCTAGAGTATGTCTTGCCTTTCCTTCCATAACAGGTGTAAGTAATTCTGAGCAGGACCGTTGGACAGTTATCTACATATGCAATAAGAATGAAGAACTATTCATGTTTTGCCTTTCTTATCATCACAGTGGAGGCCCAAATCTGGGCATTTATCTGTATTCAGTCATAATCAGTCCATGATTTCTTTGCCAATATTGCTCCAGGCATATCTATAGTAGCTTTATTTTCCAAATTGCCTCAGTAAAGGAAAGACACCCTCGCCTCAAGGATAAGCAACTGTAGAGAGGCACATGGGAGGAATTTTGTCCAATGCCCTATTTTTTTCTACACATGTAATCATTGATTTAAGAACAGTGGGATTCAGCCAGTTTGCACCACTTCGGGAGAACCGGTTGTTAACTTTCTGAGCAGTCTGGCAAACTGGTTGTTGGAAGAAATCATTAGGGCAGAGAACCGGTTGTTAAATTACTTGAATCCCACCACTGCTTAAGACCATTTATTTAATACCATTCAAAGTGATGATGACACTGAAAAAAGCGACTCATGACCATTTCTCCCACTTGCAACCACTGCATTGTCCCCAAAGTCACATCACCAAAATTCAGGCACTTGGCAACTGGCATGTATTTATGACTGTTGCAGTGTTCTGGGGTCATATGATTGCCATTTGTGACCTCCCAAAGACACTTCTGACAAAAATTGGGGAACCAGAGAAGCCAAATTAGTTTAATGATTGTGTGATTCAATTAATTACCATGATAATTTGCTTAAATTTGCTGTGACAAAAGTATTGTAAAATGGAGCAAAGCTCATTCAATATTCATATCACTAAGCACTGGAAGTTCTGATCCTAACTGTGGTGATAAGTTGAAGACTACCTGTATTCCAACGATTGCCCAGATGTATGATGAAACTGCCTATAAAATCACTGGGGAAAAAAAATCCCCAAATGCATTCAGAAAGCCTCCAGGGTCCATCAAATATCTGGCTTTGTATCATCCTAACCAGTCACCCATCCTCCCAGACATAAAGAGCATCAGCACCTTACAACTTGACGAGAAAATATGTTCACTGCAGCACAAGATTGATAAAAAAAATATCATCCATCTTCAGATCTTCCACATTTACTCTGATCTAACACACACCTGCTTGTGTGAACTGGGATTAAGATCAACTGGAATAAACCCATAGTTGTAAAAGAGTTAAAAATTCCCAAATCCCTCTGAGTAGCACTCCCAGAGCAAGGGAGGTGTTTTGCAGGGGGGTTTGTTTTGTTGTATATTCAGATAATCTGTGCCTTTTAAGAGGGAAAAAAAATCATTAAATCAAGTACGTTCTTAAACTGCAGTATGAACCATTATGTTGGCTGTTGAGAAAAAAAGAGAACATCCATAGCGTTTGCATGTGTGGTACTTGTTCCTTTGCTTCAATTTCATTTTTCCTTTAGGAATTCAGGGTAGTAGATACTATATTTCAGGGGTGAAATGCTCCCGGTTCGGACCGGCTCGGGCAAGTAGGTAGCGATGGCGGCGGGCAATTCAGAGAACCGGTAGCAAAAATCCCTGCCCCCACCCCTCATGCCCAGCTGAGCTGCACGATCATCAGAAGCTTTTTTTCTTTTAAATGCCTCTGACGAGCCAAGCTCTGACGAGCCAAGCTCTGACAATCCCAGCTGAGTGGGATTGTCGATCAGGCAACTCAGCTGGGATCGTCAGAGCCATTTAAAAGAAAAAAAGTTTTTTCTTTTACATGGCTCTGATGATCCAAGCTCTGACGATCCCAGCTGAGTGATCAGGCAACTCAGCTGGGATCGTCAGAGCCTTTTGAAAGCATTTTTTAACATGGTTTTACATGTAAAAAATGGTTTTAAAAGAAAAAAAATTGGCCACGCCCACCCAGTCACATTACCCACCACCACCAAGCCACGCCCACAGAACTGGTAGTAACAAATTTTAGATTTCACCACTGCTCTATTTCCTCTTCCCCTTTCCCCCCATAACAACAACTCTTTGAGATAGTTGAACTGAGGGAGAGAGGGAGAGAGAGAGGGGGAGAGAGAGAGAGAGGGGGGGGCCCAAAATCCTCTGAGGGTTTCAATGGCTAGAATGGATTACTGCCTCAGTCTCCCCAGGTCTAGGCTAAGTCTTTAAATATTTTTGATAACCCTACTTCAAGATCATTTAATTTTGTTCTGATATCAGTACATCAGAGATCAAAGCTCTTTATTATTAACTCTATAACATTTGATCTGCCCAGCTAAGAGGAATTTGAGTGGGTTAGCAGCACAGAAAATCATGTGCTCATTAAATACAGCTCTGGTGGGCAGAATTCTTGGCCTTCATTAGTTATGTTGGCTGAACTGTAGAACTAAATTGTTATGTCAAGTTTATGCACAGCTGATATAATTTTCCAGTTTTATGGGGAAGGGAGTCGTCCCCTCTTCCTGGGTATGGATTTAATTATATTATTGTGATCACATTCCACAACTAGTCTATGCTGAAATGAATAAACTCCACTAGGTTCAGTTTAGTTGGGATTAGCATGGATCAGCACAGGGCAGAACAATAAGAAAATAGTTCTTGGATTAAAATTGAGCTTAAAGATGATAATATTTGCATCGTTCTTAAATAAATGGTGTGAGATGCTAAAGTTTATACTTGACCCAAAGGGGTTGAGAAGCTCAATGATATTTATAATTCAAAGAAAACGGGGCTTGCATTGTATATGTACTGTCAAAATGTTACACTTCTTATGATCAAATAAAGGGCACAGGTGGGGAAAATAGATCATAGAAAATATATCAGAAAGTATAAATATGTATATGAGGAACAGCTCTGACTATGGCATTGGCCAAGCAGCATTATAGCTGATATTATTTGGGGATCTCACAAGTAGTGATATTTCTTAGAAGCATACACTGACTAATTCCTTTAAACACAAGTCACATACTTTCTCTTTTGCCATTGTGATGGCAACTGAGTACAAGTGAGCAGATAGGATCTACAGAGTTGATTTAGCCCTGGGACTACAAGCTGCTAAGCCAAAGAATGAACAATATTTATCAGTTGTTTAAGTGCTCTAGGTTTCCTACAAGGAACAGGTTAGCTGGCAATAAAAGCAGGTTTTTTTTTTTAAATAGCTGCAGAAATAAGAGGTTGGCAGATATAGCTAGAAAAAGCAACATAATTTTTGGAATGGTTATCTGAGGGACACTCTCTCCCCTATTATATGTTTGTCCCACCAGATCCAGCAGAGAGAGCATGTTAGTGGTTCCATTGGCTAGGGAGCTACATTTGATGGGCTGTAGCCAATAGGCCTTTTCTGCTGTGACTCCTTTGTTATGGACTATCCTCCCCACTGAATTGAGGCTGGGCTTCATCATTTTTGACTTTCTGAAAATTTCTCAAGACCTGCTTATGCCATCAGGCTTTGGGATCCCAGGGGACTAGTGAATTATTGAGGTGGCTCTGATATTATTAATGTCCCTTCAACCAATTTTCCTCTTTTTAGCTTTGTTTTTATATGTTTGCAATAATAACAACAACAACAATAATAATAATCATTTGATGTTTAGTAACTAATGTTTTTTAGCTTTGTTGTACACCATCCAGAGTTACGTGCTTTGTAAAATGGATGGCTATATAAATTTGACAATAAATTTGACAATAAATAAATTGCAACCATATTCTCATTTTTCATTTTCAGTTTGTGGGAAACTGGCAACAGCAGTGACCTTTGCACACTCCATGTGTTACTCAATGACATTTTCTCAATACTTCTTAACATGTACATATAACAATATTGGATTATTTGGAGAAGTTAGGATTAAAGCCCCATACTAAATATTTTGGATTATAACTCTCTACAGATGATGCAAACTGCTATGGTTAGAGAGCAGTTTAATACACAGTTATCATGAGCCAATTCCAAAAGAAAGTGGAATAAATTCTTTTCATTCTTTGAGGAAATGCATCTTAAAATATGTATGTTTCATTATTGTTCATGTAGGTTTCAAGTATTGCCAAGTGTTTCTTTTAATTCCTACTTTGGATAAATGCCAATCCACATCCAACCTTGCTGCACCAAATCAATGTTTGTGGTCCAAAGTCCTTTGAACTTGCATAAGTTACAGCTTGGATCAGTTTGGCATACAGAGTAGAAACATTTTAGATATTTGAATGAGTGCACCTATTATTTGCTGTCCGCATTGGCTTCTAAGCTTCCACTGGCACATCAAAAATGTGAAGAATCCTATTTGGGCAAGCACAGAGGGAGGAAAAAAAGAAGGATACGGACACCTGCTAGAATTTACACTTTGAATAATGAAAGATAAATTTCAAAAGAGTTATAGGATCTTGTGAATTGAAAAAGAGTCACAGAAATTGGAATGAGCCCAATAGATTCTCTACATTAACTATGGTTATTGTTTGGTCTCACAGCACTCCATAAACTCTAATTTTGAGCTGCTATTATTTGTAATTGCTAAGTGGGCCAGTTATATACTTTTGTGTTGTGTCTAAGGAAACAATCATTTTATACCTTAAGTACATACCACTTCTGAAGGTATTACTATAATCTAAGGCCTACCTTTGGAAGCTGTCTAATTATATAGTTAGTACACTGCTTTTTAAAGCACACATAGTATGCTATATGCCTACAACTAACAGGATATGTGTAGTTTGGTGAATAAGCTTTTGAAGCTTTATTTATTAGATTTGTTTGCAGCCCATTTTTCTTCAAGGTGACTCTTTCATGATGGAATCCAGTCTATAACACTTGTTTCCAAAGTTTCCAAGTACTCCAAGTATTCTTAAGAAATGTGGAATGAAGAAAAGTTAAGGAATATTTATATTACGAATACCCAGATGTAAATAGGTGGAAGACAACGTAGGGTTAGGATTACAGTTGGTTAGGGTTAGAGTTATGGTTATAACTTTTGTCCTCAGTTCTCCATACCCATTAAATTAATTATATTTTACCCCTTCATGTTCCTTTGTTAAAATATTCTCAGGCTTCATGGCAGCTTTTTATACTTATACAGTAGAGAACACATTCACAGTGCTGTATAAATTCTTTTATATTGATGTTTTTCATTGAACTATTTTAAAGATGGCCTCACTGGAAAACAGAGTGAGATCCAAGAATTGATCATTCATCTGCAATTATATAGTGCTTTTGAACACAATTACCTAAAATATAGTTTCAGCTACTCTAGAAATGTAACAGCAGGAGTGAAAGAGGGAGCACAAAAAGATTTGGCATCTTTTCTCAGAATACCTTAAAGCAGCAGCTCAGTAAATCTGAACCTGTCCATAAAAGCTTATGGAGTTTGGGAAAAAAATAAATCTTTATTTATTACAGTTTTCTGAGGAGTTTTCGGAAATTCTGAGAATCACTGAAAATGATTTTAGCAGCAAACCTGTACTTGCTTATCTGAAAGTAAATTTCATGGTATTGTACTATTTCTGAACAGATATACATACATACATATATACCGTGGTGGGATTCAAATAATTTAACAACCAGTTCTCTGCCCTAATGACCAGCTGGGTGGGCATGGCCATGATGGGCATGGCTGGGGGGGGGGTGTGTGACAGGCAGCACTCGGCCTCCTGCACCCCCCCCCAAGCAAAAACGGCCCACGGGGATGGACGTGCCCCCACACCCTGTTTTGGGTTTAGGAGGCTTCCCTGAAGCATCCTGGGAGCGAAAACGGGCTGCAGGAGGGGCGCCACACCCATCACATCCCAGTTTGGGCCTAGGAGGCCTCCCTGCACTTACCTGGGAGCCAAAATGGGGTGTGTGGGGATTCCTGGAAGGGGCAGGGAGGGGCGGAGCCTGCCAGCAATTTAATTACTGGTTCACTTGAACTGGCTGAATCCTATCACTGCATACATACATACATACATACATACATACATACATACATACATACCACAATCATGCAGAGAGCTAGTTCAGTGCAATTGTTAAAATACACCTATACACCAGAAGATTTGAGCCACAAGGCCAGCCTTAGCCAGCTAGGTAATTTTCAGACAGATAATCTCTCTCAGCCCTGGGAAGCAGACAATCCTTCTGAAATTTTGCCAAAAAACCCTACAGGGACTTGTCCAGGAAGTCACAAGGAATCAAGACTGACTCAAACATAAAAAAGCAGTGACCCTCTATATACATGACCTATTAACAATAGTCAATGATTAAATATTAAGAATTGCCTCCTAAGAAACACAGTAAGTGTATATATTAGTAATTTGCAAGTCTCTTCTCAGGTAATAATGGGAGCCTTGCTTTGATGCTTGCCTTGCAATTATTCTTGATTTTTTCCAAACTCCATCTCAGCATTTTTATTTATATTTTTTGCAAGGTGGGTCCAGTTTAAAGTTAAAGCTTGTATTGCCTACAACCTTCCGTGGCTCTGAATCTGCTCCAGTTCTTGTGGTCAGGAAATCAGGAGGAAATGGATGCACTTTTGGATGCCATGATGTCACAAGCGACAGGAATACAATAGTCACAGATTCTGAAATGCCATACAGAGCTATGGACATGGAACAATACAGGGAGCAGTAATTCAATTCCAGTGATGACAGCTATTGTGTAGCAGTCACTGGGCACCTTTGATAAATCAGCTGAACTCAGATTCATTTAAAGTCTCTTTCTAATTGGTTTTAGGGAAGAAAAAGGACTCTCTTGAGCCAAAGAAGATATTATTAGGAATACAAATTGTTCCATATTTTCCCTTTAGACATCCTGGCAAGCTTTTGCAAAAGATTCATAGCTTTGAATGGATTGAAAGAAAGGCCACTTAATGAACATTTGAAATTACAACAGGCACCTACCCAAAAAAAGTCCCATATGTCCCCTTTTCAAAGTTATGACACCTACAGTGGGCCAGTAGTCATTTGCCTTTACCAGAGGGTCACTGCAGCACCCTCTCACCTTTCTCTCCCCATCCCGACCTGCTGAAACCCTGCAGTGTTTAAGCCTGTTCCCCACATGCTTGTCATGCCCATCACTTATGTTTTGAACTCTCCAGATCTCAGTGGAAGGAGGGCAGGCCATGTGTCCTTGGGCCGTGCACTAATGATCCAAATGCAGCCACCATTTTGTTCCACCCATTTGTGGCAGAACAAAAAAAACTACTTCTGAAGCTTCTGAAACCTTTTGCAGCACTGTGCAGACCTCTCTGAGGCAACAAAATGAAGCACTGTTTGTCCCAGGACCAGTGTGGCAGCAACTCTAATGCAGCTGCCATTTTGTCCTACCCATTTGTGGGCTGGACAAAATGGCAGCCACTAGATAAACAGCTTCATTTTGCTGCCTTTGAGAGGTCTCCACAGTCCTGAGAAGCTTCTGAATGCTGCAGAAAGCTACTGCCTTGTTAAGGCAGTAGAACAAACTAGTTTGTCTCCGGGCTATGTGACAGAGACCAAATATGGCCACCAGTTTGTCCCCATCCACAAACTGCATTGACAAAGTGGCTTATGATCATTTTTCACACAACCATTGCAGCATCCCCAGGATCATGTGATCAAAATTCAGATGCTTGGCAAATGGCATGTATTTATGATGGTGGTGTTATCCCAGAGTCATGTGACTACTTTTTGAGGCTTTTTGACAAACAAAGTCAACGGGAAAGCCAGATTCACTTAACAATCATATTACTACCTTTACAACTGCAGTGATTCACTTAACAACTGTGGCAAGAAAGCAATAACACTAGCGCTTAGCCTTAGCACTTAGACTTATATACCACTTCTCAGTGCTTTACAGCCCACTCTAGGTGGTTCATAATGTCAGCATATTATTCACAACAATCTGGATCCTCATTTTATTGACCTCGGAAGGATGGAAGGCTGAGTCAACCTTGAGCCGGTCAGAATCGAAAGAATCGAATTCCTGGCAGTGAGCAGAATTAGCCTGCATTACTGCATTCTAACCACTGCACCACCTGAGTTCTTGGATCGTAAAATGGGGCAAATGCCATAAAATGGGGCAAAACATTGGAGAAGCTGAAAAAATTAGAACTATCACTTCAGAAGGATCCCCAAACATGGAAATCAGAAAGGAAATAGAGCTAATAAAACATAAAATCAATATATTACAAAAGGAAGAAATGATAAGGAATATAAAATTGGCAAAACAAAATTATTTTGAATCGGCAAACAAACCAGGGAGATGGCTCGCCCATAAATTGAAAAAAGACAAAGCTAAAAAAATGATACAATATCTACAAGACGAACAAAGAAACTTGTACCATAGAATCGATGGGAAAAAAATATTATTCAAAATTATTTTCAAATACTATACAGTCCAGAAAATATTAAAGAAGAAAATATCATGAATTACCTACAGGAGAGGAATTTGCCAAGTATAACAGACAAAGATAGGGAAATGTTGAATGGGGCAAAACTCACTTAACAACTGTCTTGCTTAGCAGTGGAAATGTGGGGCTCAATTGTCGTAAGTTGAGGACTATCTATATCAGTTGTATGAAACTGGAATACTTCCACAGTTGAGGAAGTGGCTAGCTATAGTCATTCCTCAAATTAAATCAGCATTTCAAGGTATAGGCTTTGCAGAAGAATTACTCACCGCAAGATCATGCATCAGAGGATAGACTGTTTCTTCACAAGTAATTCTTATCACATAAGTATATTGCAAGGTGAGGAGTGGTTATTCCTA